TAGCATTTACGTGTTGGGGATATTTTTTGAACTACAAAATACGCCCCAGATAAGGTCTAGAATTTCCAGGTACCTACCTATGAAAATCCGCACTGTTCCGTTAAGAACGCAACTATTGCTCCTCCCCCTGTAAATATGCATAAATATCCTCCATTTTCCCACGATTAAGTTTTGTAAAATTTTGTCAGGAATTTCTTAGAAGTGATATTAAAAGTTCTTGAGATGTTTTAATACAAAACACATGACACTGTAACACCGCTGTTTCAAATATTCTGAAAGTGTTTAGTCCTTTTATTGTAAATATAGCTACAAATAAATTGATTGAATACTGGAACATTTTCGTGTAACATAAACAAACACTTTACACACATAAAAATTACTATAACGATACAGATACTCTCGGCTTTCGTAAAACAAGACTATTATACCGTACGACAAGGCTCACGACAAAAATTACATGATACTCTCATATCATGATATTCATACACCACACATGGCTTTGTACTTCATACAATTATACTAAATGCTCATCATGGTACTGAACACTTAATGTCAATTATTTAATTCTCTGCAGCATAGTCAACATTTGGACTAGTTAAAACGGCAATATCCAGCACTACACTTTAGGTATGCGCAACACGTGGGTTCTTCAGTGTTCTTGCACTATAAAAAAAGAAGAAAAACAAGGAACAAACTGATTATAATTTCATTAATAAAAGCTTACGATAAACAGCAGTATTATTTACAGAAATCGAACAGTAGTTTGTATCATAGCGAAGGTCGAATGTAATTGAATGGTTGTGGTTCTAGAGGTCTGAAATTCGGGCTGCGGGTTGCCAATGAAAATGTTGTGCGCTCTCAACTATGGGAGAGTTATAACCTTGACAGTTAACCCGCTGTTCGCTTAAGAATAACCGCATCATTGGCAGCGGGTGCTGCTGACTCATTGCCGTTTTCCTGGCTAGTTAAAAATTGGTTCTAAGGGGTAAAATCCCTCCCATGCCAAGATGACACATAGGATCCGGTGCTGAACTCCGGCTTAATTGGCGCAAGTGGATAAGAGTATCAATTAATTTCCCCTGAACATTTTGTCCATCGTAGATTAAGGTTAGGATTTGATCCAGTTTAATTAATGATTAAAATCACCAGATAAGGCTATAGTATCACCATGACTTTCTTTCAAAGTATACACTGAAAGGATTTGATTACTTCTATTGGCTTTTGGATAGCCTGAGACAATTAAGGTAAAGTAGCAAAGCTACGCAGTGAGTTATCTGTGCTCTGCCAACGACAGGTATCGAAACCCAGATATTAGCGTCCTAAGCCTGCAAACTTACCGCTGAGTCACTGGGAAGGGCAATTTTTTTTATATAAGAGGTAATCTAGTTTTACAAAGAACGACATTTTATTATGGATCATAAGTCGATTTCCAAGTAACATAAGAACAACATTTTATTATGGATCATAAGTCGATTTCCAAGTAACATTGAAGAGCGTCAAATCGTTTCACTAAATAAATGTTAGCTCTCGCTAAGAGCTGTGGACATTGTGGTTCGGAGGCCACGCGCTTTGGGCTAGTAGTTGAATGGTTGCGAGTTCGAGACATGCTTGTGCTATGCTATTGTGTTCTCGAGCAAGACGTTAACGACAACCAAACTAAAATTAATATTCTCATTGAAAGCGAATTTTATAAGTTTCCAGCGGAAATAATTAGTGCTAACACTTTTCTTTCAACATCCAAAAATAGTTGAAATATTAAGGCATGAGTTTTTTATTTTCCTTCGCACCTGAACTTTCTAAAGTTATAGAACGCCGATAGAGTCGGCTTAATCAACCGCAGATACTAACTGTAAATTATTTTAAAATTAATTTTCGTTTCCAGCAAGACATTTGAAAGATTTTAGTGAAAGAAATGTGTAAATATGTTTATGCTGATATATAGGAATATATTAACACTATAATACTTCTTTTTTCATGGGGAACAATAGTTAGGACTTGAGATTCATTTATAGAGCGTAATTAGACCAATCAAGTAGCTTTGAAAATCATAAAAAACAGCAAGAAGAAACACCATGATTATTTTGAAACAACGAAATTTCAAGTAAATATCTTGATATGGCTATAAAGGAAAAGTTACATTTCTGGAGGAGTTGTCCTCAAAGAGTAGTTGTTGCCCAAAATTTAGAAAATATTATTAATTATTTTTATCATAGTTTACTATATTATGTAAAAATAGAAAATTCAACGTTTATTAGCCGTGGCATAGCGGCTCATTGAATGGCTCTGAGTTTTTGAAGTACAAACTTTTAACTCGTAGTTCCATCATCTCTTGGCCGATTTAAGATCTAATTACAGTTTTGGATTCAGGAGGTCAAACTCTTTCGATTGGTATATTTGATCACGGCCAAGGTCTCATACATTAATTTACTCTAATCCTGCCTATAAGAATTCAATTTTAGGATAGGCTTGTAGAGATCCTGATGAGTAACATAGCTAATAAAAAGGGGGAAAAAAAGGTCTCATAGATTAATTTACTCTAATCCTGCCTAAATAAATTTCAAGTGCCGCGGCTATTGAGGATTCCCTCTTGTTTTTTCTTTAGAAAAGGAGATATCTGGAAAGACTAAAACTGGTTATTCAAAAAAAATTTTAAATATTTCAAAATGTTCAAGTGTTTGTTTTTATCCAGAACTGAACAATGAGTCATTTGTGCTGTGTCTAACACAGAAATCGAATCCAGAATTTTAGAGTTATAAATCATCAGTCTTTCTGCTGAGCCAACAGGGAGCATTGCTAAAATACTTTTGGAATGTGATGTCTTCTCCATCAAACGTTCTTTATGGAGAAGGGACTAACTACCCTTTGCAAGATGTTCGAGCGGGTGGTTCGGTTTTATTTTTTATACTTGTTTATTTACTTTGCAGTAATTCGCAATCGTATTTTACTTAAAATTGATCGAATCTTTTCGGTGATTTTTTTTACAGATAATAAGTAATCTATATATTCTTTTCAAACGAACGTAAGAAGATTTCTGTAATTATATATTCACATAACCTTAGCTCTATAGTGTTTGGAAGTTCGTATGTGATAATATATATTTAGCAGTAATGTCTACCACACATACACACGCTACCTCTGTGTCTTGGGCCAGTATATCTTGCTTTCCTTATATAATATTTTTTGTTCAATATAAAGAAACAAAAACACTCGAAAACTTACAGCCTGTCCTGCAGTTGCGCATTTGGTCTGTCCATGTACCCCTTGATTCTTGTAAGAAGTCGACAGAAGTAGCAGCATCAGAATGACGACAGAAAGAACAGTGGAAAACAGCCTCATCTTTCGGATTAATTCTATTATCTGTGTAAATCAAATTATAAATTATAGAAATATAAATAAATGAATTAATAGACACAAAAAAAAAGGAGAGAGGTTGTTTAATTTGAAGAAACGTTACTACGGATTGTTGATTTTTCGTACGACACGATACAGTTCATGGGTTTTAAACGAAAGTTGTTTAAAAATTGAATATCTGTTGTATCGTTCGAAAACTGATACAAGTCACTGCTGCAGGATCTTTTCTTTCATGAGTTAGACAGGATCAGCAGCAGCCAAGAAATGCTGTTTGTTAAAACAGTTTGGTATTAACATTGAATTCTTTTTTACTAGATACAAGTACAATCTGTTTGTTTTTAGTTAAGTAGAAAGCTACACAAAGGGTTATCTGTGCTCTGCCCACCACGGGTATCGAAATCCGGTTTCTTAGCGTTGATAAGCCCGTAGACATACCGCTCTGCCACTGGGAGCTACAAATAGAATACCAGACATAGCTCTAAGCTGTTATTGTAATAGGTTTTCTAGAGAAAAGATAGCATGAACTTTAAAAGTAACATGAAATCACTGAAAAATTAAATAAACACGTAAAGCTGATAAAATTGTAACGAAAATAAGTATATACATTACTAATAGTTATAAAAGAACACAATATCGCGTGTAACAATTAGTGAAAAAACCACTGTAAACGGAACGAACTGTCAGAAGTCTGATATTAGAGACTGAAGAGAACGCACGGATGTCTCGAAACCAGTTTCTCTGATATCAGACTTCTGGCAGTTTGTTCCGTTTACGGTGGGTTTTTCACTAATTGTATGTATATCACGAAAACTTTAACAAATAAGCCGAAACTTTTTGAACATAATCAAGTTTGTTAAGAATAAGTAAACAAAGTTTGAAGTACTTTAAGAAACAGATAACCTAATCCTACATTACTTTTTTCTTTTCTTCTCTTCTCCGGTTCTGCTTCCCTCGAATGTATGGATTACGAATTTAAAGTCTTTATATAAATAAAATAGACCTATCTCATGATCTAATATTCTGTTGGACTGCCTCCAACTTCAGACAAGTTAATGAGTTTTTTTCATATATTTTAAATCACCAAAAAGACGTTTTACGTCATTAGTCTTTTAATTATTAGAGCAGTATATTATTTACTACTGACAATGAAGAATGCATGCGTCATACAGATATTTTCATTTGTGTGTGATTGGCCACATTTTACGATGACGACACTGGAGATTTTTAATTATTAACTTTATGTTGAAATAATTTATGCAGAAATATCGCTATTTCAGAAAATGCTGACGATGACATGTCTAGTTTGTTTGTTTTGTAGTTAAGCAGAGAGCTACACAAAGGGCTATATGTGCTCTGCCCACCATGGGTATCGAAACTAGATTTCTAGCGGTAGAAGTTCTTAGACATGCCGCTGTGCCACTGGTGAGGGGGGCGACAAGTCTTGTACACGTTGACTTGATAGACAGATAGAAAACTTTTTTTCTCCATTTTACAGGCTGGCTTTAACTGATCTAAGCTTTAGATGACAGAATTATGCTATTGAAACAGTGTATTTTTCAAAGACATGCATAGTTGCTGTCCTCCTCATGATCGTGTCATATTTTATAGTTTATGTTGTCAAAATTAAAATATTATTTAAAAAACACCAATTGAATTCAATTCAAGATAAATACGTTTCATTAGCTATCAGCTATCAGTTTTGAAGGTTAAATCTTATATCTAATTATGAAGGTTAAATATAAAATTGTATCTTTAATTATGAAGGTTAAATATAAAATTGTATCTTTAATTATGAAGGTTAAATTTGAAATCTTATCTTTAGTTATGAAGGTTAAATTTAAAATCTTATCTTTAATTATGAAGGTTAAATTTAAAATCTTATCTTTAATTATGAAGGTTAAATTTAAAATCTTATCTTTAGTTATGAAGTTTAAATTTAAAATCTTATCTTTAATTATGGAAAAAGGCGCAACTACCTTTCCTCACTAAGTTGGAAAATCGACATAGATGATGTTCCTATGATCTATATATTCAATACTTTAATTAAACAATCCCTTGAAAATTAATACTGGTATTTGAGAATACATCGGGCAGTTGTACACGTGTTTTTTTTGTATAATATTGATTAAATTTACTGTTTTATAACACCTTCATAAAGGAAATAATATTCTGTCGTGACCGTTTCTCGAATATAAAACTTGTAGCTTACATACGCGTTTTGAAACTGGTACTCTTGCAATCGAACTCTTATGGTTACAATCCCTATAATAGACAACTCCTGTCTTAACTATCAAGGTTACAATCCCTATAATAGATAACTCCTTTCTTAACTCTCAAGGTTACAATCCCTATAACAAACAACTTCTTTCTTAACTGTCAAGGTTACAATCCCTATAATAGAAAACTCCTTTCTTAACTCTCAAGGTTACAATCCCTATAACAAATAACTTCTTTCTTAACTGTCAAGGTTACAATCCCTATAATAGATAACTCCTTTCTTAACTCTCAAGGTTACAATCCCTATAATAAACAACTTCTTTCTTAACTCTCAAGGTTACAATCCCTATAATAAAAAACTCCGTTCTTAATAGTTACACATTCCTATCACCTACTTTTTTTTTCACTTCAAATAGCAAGGCACAAATTAAAAAAACTATTCCAACACAATTATAGAACAACTTTCGAGTCCCTGTTCGTGTAGCAAGAGTACTTTTTTAACACTAAATCTAAGACCTCCAGATCACTTTAGCGTTATAAAACTGGATTATCTGGATTATCAGGGCTACAACTTCTATAGCAGACAACTATCATCTTAATTCTTACACTCCTAATGGTTTAACTTTTGTATAATTATATCATACTATCAGTGTAAAGTGGAAAATACATGTCACTATATTTGTCTTGAAATTAAAACCGAATACAACTCCTCACTCGAGAGTTTAGTTTATATATTGGTTCAACACTTCATACCTTTTTCTAGTTCGATTCCCCTCAAAGGGGAAAGCAAATATAGCACATGGTGTAATTTGTGCTACAACGACAACAACTTTGTATTTCACGTGCTGAATATCTAGTCATTAATCAATAAGATCTGGCAGTTATAAATAAATATTTCATCATGTCTGTCCCAGATAATTTACGTAATTTGGTTTTTCTGTTGATGAATGTTTAAATATAATGACTTAGCAGGTTTCCTTGCATTTGCTTATTTAATATTCGAAGGATTATACTTTATACACTTGTTTACATGATTTTCTAGTCCATAACACGTGCACATTTCATAACTAATGCTCATTGGTAATTCTTAGGGCTCATAACCCTAAAAATCGGGATTCAATACCCTCTATGGGCAGAGACAGGTAACTCATTGTGTAGCCCTGCGCCTAATAACAAAAAAGCAAAATAAATATCATAACTAATAAACTATCTGAGAGTGAAAGATAAAAATCAAATGGAGAACATGAAACATGTTTTTTGTTTTTTTCTGTTAACAGGGCTAGCCATCTCGGAAATTATCGAGTTTTTGTTACACATTTTATAATTAAATGGGAAATAAAAAAAAACAGATAAAAGCCTAAAATGCTATTGGAAAGGATTACACTTCAAAAATAATTATAAATTCATTTGGATGTCGTTTTCAGAACTGAGATATGTCCTGTTTAACGCGCAGTTAGTTAGGAATGAAATGGGAGTTGCTCTTGTTTTCTACAAAATTTGAAACAAAAAGTATTATTATCAATGGATTTGTCTCAAAATTTGGCGTGCCTATAAAGCTTTACTTGGATTACTGACGAAACTTTCAATCAGACTCGTTTTCGGAAATGTGCTGTATCCTTGGGATTCAAAAAGCCAGGAAAATAGCCATTTGTTCATCTTATGGGGACAGGGTGGAGAGATACAACCACACAATATACTTGGCCTGGTGGTTCGGAAGCTCGACTCGCAACCTGCGGGTCACGGGTTCGAATCCCCGTTGCTGAATAAGCTTGCCCTTTTAGCCGTAGAGGCGTTTTAATATGATGGTCAATCCAACTATCCGTTGGTAAAATAATAGGTCAAGAGTCGGCGTTATAATATGATGGTTAATCCGACTATTCGTTGGTAAAAGAATAGGCCAAGAGTTGGCGATGGGTGGTGGTTACTAGCTGCCTTCCCTCTAATCCAGCGTTTTCCATACGACGGTCCGCGAACCGTTACTGGTCTTTCAATTAATTTCTACCGGTCCTCAACGTGTCTTGACTGTTGAAAGCAATGACGCTTATTTACTATTTTTTTTTTTTTAATTTATTTGTATGACTAAAAGTCGCCTAAGTCCTTTA